CGGATAGTCCTAAAACACTGTGCATTTGCATGAAATCAGGGACAATCGCTCAGAGAATATCAGTTTCAGCTCTCCTTGTCATGTCTGTCACTCCTGAATGACTCTGCATTCTGACTTGGTGCTCTTTTATTTCTCTCCTAGTTTGCTTGGTCACAGCTGAGAAAGCAAATGAATATTCAGAAAGCGGATAAGTCATAGGAACAGCTGGAGTCGGAAATTAAACGCGGTTTCCAAGCTGTCATTATACAGAGAGAAGATGTTGTGAGCACAAGAGAAATGCACATTGTGCTGTGCTAACACAGATGTTTTCAGAAACATCAGATCAAATATCAGGCCGTAAACACACAGACTTTAAAGGACATGATCTAAAATAAGTCGTTTGTGTCTCCAGAACATTTCTGTGAAGTTTCATGTCAAAAGTACCCATAAGATCATTTCTTAAAAATGATTTTAATTGTAAATACTTTTGTATAAATATTTTTATTTCTTATTTGTACAGTTAAAACAGTCAATAATGCACACATTTAACCATCTATGCACTCGTACAGCCTCTTCACCCTTCTGTATTACTCCGCCCACTTGGAGTGACAGCAGATCAATAAACTCACTACAGTTTGACCAATATTGTAGTTGTTAGACAACATAATGTACTTTTGAGGCTTTTTAGAAGAGAATGTAGTTGTTTAGATTGCAACTATGCAGTTTATTTATAAAGATAAGTGCCTATTTTAAATATAAACTCAGCGTGCAGCCATTAGCCTGTCATACTGAGCAGAGCAGAGACGGTTTACGTTCCACCACAAGATGGCAGCAGAGATCCACATAATAAGTCATTAGGGGAGAAAATCTTTCAAACTACAGTTGATCAAACCATTAAAAACAGGTAAGCTACTTTCTAAGTCGATCTCTTTCTTTTGTATGCTGCTGTATAGAGATTCATACAGCTAAGTTACTGTACAAAATAAACTTACTTTAACGTCCACAAACCGAGAAAACCTGTTGTGTGATTGAAGCGTCCTTGTTTATAGTTGTGTAGCTGTGCTGATTCCAGCGCTCATGAATTAACTAACTCAAATATACAGTTTAAAATGCTATAAAAATACAAAAACATAGCACTTACTGCTTCTTGAAGTGCAGTATGATCAGAGTTGGAACAGATCTTTTGATCAGTTTCTTAGCAAATCCTGTCTTGTATTTTTGATTATACACATTAAAGTCAGCATGTAACGTAAGCTGCAACCATTTTTTTTTTTTTTTGTATTGTGAATGAAGAAATGGAATATTAAATGAGAAAACAGTGGGCGAGGCTTGCTTTTTTTTACTGCAAGCTGATTGGATGTGGTAAATTAGACATTTCATTCAGAAATATCAGGTTTCAGAAGAGCTATTGCAACCTAACAGACTCCTCACCATTTCTGTTTGTTGTTAAAACTGACAGTTGAGGAGGGCGTGGCTAAGTACCCATGTAGCAAAGAGTTTTGGCCCAGATTTGGCCTAAAGCTGGCACAGCAGGCATTCGTCTGGCATGGCGTACAGCATGTGGGCCAAGCATGGCCCAGGTTTGGAAGAGGTAGCACCGTCTTTAAGGCGGCACACAAGACTTGGGCCAGATATCAAATGTAGTATTTGGCCCAGATGTTTAAAATTTATATGTGGGCCACGTAAGTTTGGCCTAACTCGACCTACTTTTAAAATACATTTAAATTGTTTTTGAATAAAGAAAAAAATCTACCAATCAGGTCGCTTCGAGAAAAAGCATGGCCATACAGTAAAATGCTTCATGGGTTTATCAAATTCATTAAAGTCATGACACACCAACATATCTGGCCCAGTTCAGGCTTAGTTCTGGGTTATTAACTTGGCTAAGACTTGGTCTAGATATGGTCCATGTTTGGCTCTTGTCTGGAAGCCAGACTTGGTCCAATCATGTGCTGTAATTCACTGCGGCATGTGGGCCAAGCAAAAGCTGATTGTGTGGGCCAGATCTGGGCCAGAGAAATTTTGCTATGGAGGTATGTTAGCCCTCCCCAATACCTCAAACAGACGTAATCTGAGAATTTAACTGTAAACTAACAGGATGTGCATTTTCCGATTTCAAGATTTTATAGATTAAAGAATAAACTTTTTTTTTTTTTTAATGTCATGTACAGATGAATTGTTTACCACAAAACTAGCAACGTGAGCTAACAAAATCATATGATTAGTTTTGATTTAATTTGTACTTTAATACTGAGACATGTTAATATATGCCTGTCAATCAATATTGGTGAGGAAAACAGTACTGCTACGTCACATTGCAGTGGGTCTCAAATTCAATTTTAACACTAGGAGATGTTAAAAAAAGAGTTTATATTACTCCAATAAGACTGTGGACACACTATACCTACACACCGTTCTGTTCAAACAGCTCCAAAAAGTTGATTTTGCATGATAGTTGCCCTTTAAACACTGTTGATAGCTGATAGACTCGGAGTTTAGATTGGAGACGTGATGCGCAGAC